CGTCTTGTCTGGATTCAGTTTCAATCTGTTTTTCCTCAACCAGCCCATAGATATCGAATGTGCAAATGAAAATACACACATTAAATAAACAATATTTTTATTTATATACTACATTGGGGTGGCAATATCTACATGTAGTTGTAAGGGGGGTCCCAAGAGTATAATGTCTGAGTACCACAACTCTAGACCACTGGTTATTTCCATGCCATGGTCATATATGTAAGGAGGGACCATTCTGGCTAATATAGCACTGTCCTTTTAAAAATAGATTTGACTGAAGAAGATCAGGACTTGTGGTTGCTAAGCAACTGTAGGCTGCAGGAAGGTGCTGCGTCAAGCAAACTGAACCACACAAAATGTCTGGACCTGCGTTTCATCAGTTGCTATGTGGGGTAGGGAGGGAAGGGTGAAAGAAGCATAAGAGAGAATTACACAGGGAGGAAGAAAGGGCATGAGTGAAGGACAAGCAGAAGCAGTGGATAAGACCATTGTTCCAAAGAGACAGCATTAAACTATTGATCCACTGATGCCTGGAAAATTGAGTACTCATAAGCCTGCAGCATGATTCTGTCCAAGTCTTGTGGTGTATTTGCTGGCCAAGAGAGGAGAATGACAATGCAAGAGCAAAAGCTGATTTGAACCTGCTTTCAGTAAGAACTGAAGTACCTTCATTTTTGCATCCTCACTTTGGTTTAATCTACACTACAGTAATAATGCAATTTTACACTGCTTTAACTGTCATGACTCAATGCAGTGTGGAATTAGTAGTTTCATGGGGCACCAGAGATCTTTGGCAGAGAAGGTTAAATATCATACAGAACTACAAATCCCAGAATTCCACAGCATTGAGCCATGGCAGTTAAAGTGGTGTCAAACAGCATTATTTTTGCAGTGCGGATTAGAATTTTAGAATCATAGAATTGGAAGAGACCCCAAGGGCCACCCCCTTGCCATGTAGAAACACAGAATCAAAGCACTCCTGACAGATGGCCTTCCAGACTCTGTTTAAAAACTTCCAAAGAAGAAGACTCTGCCACATCACAAAAGGAAATTAGACCTTTGTGAGCCTGGCCAGACTGCAAATTAAGGGGAAATTTCCCCCATGTCCCCTTTTTCCAGAACTCTCAGTAGGTTATTTGTGAGCTGCCTTGGGTCTTTTCAGGGAGAAAGGCAGGATAGAAATCAAATCAATCAATTACTTAATAATGTCTTGGCCAGAAAGCATCCAGAACATGCTTAGGAAGGACTTTGTCACACAGACCCTACCTCACATATGTCAGTTCAGTGCTAGATTTTATTGGACCCTGGGAAAGGTGGGGCCCTGGACTGTTCCAGAGGTTATGTGGGTAGAAGATGGCACTGAAGAAGTTTCATTTTTAACAGTCCTGCAATTCTTCTGCCCAGTGCATCTAAAGAGGAGCATTAGGTTTAAAACAGCAGCTGCCACCATCACCATCTTCCATAAAGCCAGAGACAATGAGAATGTGGAAAATAGTAATGGATACTGTTGCCTGGTCCAGCTCTCCTCATATCTCAGGGACATTAGAAAGGTTTTAAAATTAAGTGAAAGCAACTTGAGCCATGGTGGTCAACTGGATTCCCTGGGGACCAGCATTTCCCTTTCCATACCAGGAGCTGATACCAGGCCTGTTTGATTGTCATCAAGTTAAAAGTGCTGACCAAGTAATTTGTCACTAGTTTGGGGCCAGTACTTTAAGCTGAATGTATTTACCTGAGTGCAGAGTTGTTGATGGTGATAAAATCTTAATGGATATCTCTGTAGAGCTCATAAGATTAATAAGATCAGTCTTTGTGAGACTGAAGCCTTGTCTGCATGGGTCAGGACACTCCAGGGGCAGCCCAGAGGATCCTGGCCCCACAGCTATCCTGACCTGCCCCCGTTACCTTGGTCTCTGCTCCCATACCATGGCGGCTGTCTGCATTGGTGCCCAATGAGCCACCACTGCTGTAGGTTGCTCACTTTTGAGATCAGAATGAGGTGCCCAGCAATAGTTATAGAACAAGTGACCTACAATGGCAGCAGATGCACCGGGCAGCCCAGCAGGTTGCCTGTGCAGACTGTGCAAATGGTTCCAGATCTTCCTGGAAGATCTGGAGCAACAGGCATATTATTACTTCATTTTAAGGCTGGCATAGCCTGGTTCTGGTGTGAAATGTCCTGGACATTGTACGGACTTCTTACATCAGAACTAGGATGCATTTTGAGATATGTGTTGTCTAAACAGGACGATGCCAGAATGGGGGCAGGGGGAGAATAAGCCTTTTGGCCCATTCCAGCAAGGCCTGAGATCTTGTTTCAAAATGTGAAGAGACAGGATTTTCACATTCTATTTTTGGCCATAGGCTTTCCTGCAAGGGTGGAAATCATGTGATCCTGCAGATACTGTCCAATAACACCTGGAGAGCTACGTGATTCCAACCCCTGCTTTCATGGTTCTTTTATTAAAATTGCACCTTATATGAAAATAATTTTTGTACCTAATAAAAAGGCATACCAGTTAACATGTGTCTGTAAGATGCTTGAACTAATATAAAAACTGACATTCTCAAATTTCTAAGAATTATTATTGATAATCAGGTCCGGTTCAAAAAGGAACAGAAATTAATAAAGGTCTAATATGATTTATAGCATATGATAATCTGTCGTGACTTTGCAATTAAATATTGTTGTACTCTGTTGGTTGGATATACTTAGCCCCATTGACACCAGTAAGGGAAGCATGCCTAGCAGGATTGTAGCTAATCTGTATGCTAACATTCAATCAACAAACAGGCCAGTGAGGGCTAGTTTGAGAGCTTTGTTCTTCAGATGGTGTATATTGAAATGTCTGACACCTTTATAAATATCTGTGTGTGAGACCAGTTGAAGCCATCTGGTGATCTGGCCATAATGCTGTGACATTGCTGTGAAATTGTTTGGGATTTCTGTTTACAAAAGTACATGTAGTCACACCCACTAAGAACTTTCTTATGTGCACCATTAATGTTGCAGTGGCAGTTCCTTATATAGTCAGTCTAGAAAGAGATACCATACATCATAGTACAGCGCAATGGCACATTTTGCCCAGCTTTACCTCATTGGAATGTTATGCCTATTTGTGCTAGATGATGTTGTTGATGAAATATTTTTATTAGCTGGTGCAACATATTGCTCACATAATATTTTCTAAATCCTGTTCTTTAGACCTCACAAAGAACTGAGCATTTTAAAAGGAACAGTTGCTAATTCTTACTGTATGGTCATGTTGTTGTTGACATATGACAACCCTAAGGCAATCCTATTTTGGGGTTTTCTTGGCAAGATTTGTTCAGAGGAGGTTTGCCATTGCCTTTCCCTGAGGCTGAGAGCATGTGACTTGCCCAGGGTCACCCAGTGGGTTTCATGGCCGAAGTGGGAATCAAACCCTGGTTTCTAGAGTTGTAGTCCAACATTCAAACCACTACACCACATTGGCTTGGGTACATTCAAAACTACTATCTATCAGTGGACAGACAGGCATCAAAATGTCTATAGTACTCTTCAAAATGCCCAGAACAGCTTTTATTGTTGTTAGCTGCCCTCAAGTCAATCATGACTCATGGTGTCCCTGTGTATGAAACATCTCCAAGAACCCCTCAAAGACCTCCACTGCTTTGCTCCTGTAAATTAAGGCTTGTGACATCCCTGATTGAGTCTATCCATCTAATATGCATCTTCCTTTTGTTCTGCTGCTTTCTACTTTCCCTAGTATTGTCTTTTCCAGTGTGTCATTCCTTCTTATGATGTGGCCAAAGTAGGACAGCTTCAGTTTCATCATGTTTGCTCCCAAGGAGAGTTCAGGTTTGATCTGTTTAAGGACCCATTTGTTTGTCTTTTTGGTTGTCCACAATATCCTCAGCACTCTTCTCCAGAACCACATCTCAAATGAGCTGATTTTCTTTTGTCAGATTTCTTCACAGTGCAGTTCTCACATCTGTACATGGTAATGGGGAATATAATGGCTTGGATGATTCTGATTTTAGTGCTCTATTGAATATCTTCATACTTTAGGATCTTGTCTAATTGTTTCATCTCCACCCTTTGTTTAAACTTTCCTCTGAGTTCCCAGATCTTGAAGTAGAAGTCTCTTGTTCTTCCTTTTTTTGTTGTTGTCTTCTATTTCTCTGCATTGTTTATTATAGCAGTTTTCTTTATCCTTGTACACTAGTTATTGGACTGTTCTGTTCATGGTTCTTGTTTGGTTTCTATATGGTTTTTCTTTTGCTTCTCTTCTTTCTTTTACTAATTGAAGCACTTCCTCTGTAACCCATTGTTTGTTTCTTCTCTTTCTTTTTGGTCACTGTTAGGTTTTGGGTTTTTTTGCATTCTTCTTTGACTATGTCCTTGGCTTCTGTCATACTTCTTCTGTTCCAGTCGATTATTCTTAATGGCTTAAATCTATTTCTTTCATTGTTTGTAAATTCTGTCGATGTTCAGATTGTGTTTTCATATGATGAATGTTTTTGTTTTCTTTCTCAGCTTACTCTAATTTTTGATATGAGTATAAAATCATAGAATTATAGAATTAGAAGAGACCACAAGGGCCATCCAGTCCAACCCCGTGCCATGCAGGAACTCCCAATCAAAGCATCCCTGACAGATGGCCATCCAGCCTCTGCTTAAAGACCTCCAAGGAAGGAGACTCCACCACACTCCGAGGGAGTGTATTCCACTGTCGAACAGCCCTTACTGTCAGGAAGTTCCTCCTAATGCTGAGGTGGAATCTCTTTTCCTGGAGCTTGCATCCGTTGTTCCGGGTCCTAGTCTCTGGAGCAGCAGAAAACAAGCTTGTTCCCTCCTCAGTATGATATCCCTTCAAGTATTTAAACACATACATTAAAGTGAGCTATTTTGTGTATGTAACTCTGGATTTTACTATCCAACTATATCATAAGGAATGCAGAGAATAAACAATGTGATTAATCACAACAGAAAATGCTACACCATATGGGAAACATTTGCATCGGCCTAGAGTGGAAATCAAGCTGCAGTGTGTTCCAATTCTTCAAGTTACAAAACTAACATTTCATAAATATTTATAGCCTAGTCCTAGAGGAATGTCTACAGTCAGCACGTTCTTTGGGTCTACATTTTCCCCATAAAAGATGGTACTTTTTGACCTTGTATTTGACTATAAGTGTAAGAAAATATGAAATTTTAATTTGTACAAAATTGATAATTTGCACTGAAACACAAAGTTTGTTTTTACAAATGTGACGTTATTGTGTGTGTATGATTTTTATATGAACAAGAGTTCTAAAAAAGTAACACCTGCAAATGTCTAAATGTTACCTTTTTCAAAGTGTCTTAAAAATCCAAGAACGCTTACAAATAATACATTAACAGATTTTAAATTACAGTTCAATAGTTCTTTCTTTATTAGTCAGGCCTATCAAGTTCTTATCTTCAAAAATGCTAAATGTCAGCTTAATAATATCAGTTACAAATATTTCCACTAGAAACCTTCTTGACTTTTAAATCTTTTCTCTCTACATTTAATTATCCTCTTCTAGACACTCAAACTGCCTTTCAGGTTCACCCATTGCCTCATTCTGGCAGTAATTCTATGAAAATTTACTAGAAAGTAAGTCAAACTAGATCAAGCGACTTACTTCTGTGTAACCATGGGCTGCAACATGTACTTAGCAATATTGCATCCCATTAACTGTAAGTGAGCTCTGTAGATTTGATTTGCACGTATGAATATCTACACATTGCAAACATTATTATTGTTAACTTTTAGCTAATTACTTTAATGATACTGTTAAAAACAAAGACCAATTGACAAATTGCTAGCTGTCATTACAAGTAACTTTAAACTGAATATTTGCACTAATAATAACACCCAAGGCAAAAATCATGGGAAAATGTAATAAAGCAGAGAGTTTGTTTTCAAGGAAACTGCAACACACATGCTATATAGTAGGTATCCCATGGGAAGGAAGAGGAAGACACCCAGATATTCTATGATGTAGATGTGATCCCAACTTTTAATGTTTCTTGGGCTGAATCTGCACTGCAGAAATAATATATTTTGATACTGCTTTAACTGCCACGGCTCTGTGCTGTGAAATTCTGGGATTTGTAGTTTGGTGAGATAGTTAGCCTTCTCTGCCTGAGAGCACTGGTGCTGCAACAAACTGCAAATCCCAGGATTCCATAACATGGGGGCCATTGCAGTTAAAGCAGTATCCAGCTACATTATTTCTGCAGTGTAGATTCATCCCCCAAGGGTGTTTTTCCACCACTAAGTTTTATCAACAGATGCAGCAGCCTTAGGACCTTATCCCACGGGGCCAAAAGCAGCAAGAATCCA